GAACTTCGCCAGGTCCTCTTGACCATGTCTACATGCTTAGATGTATTGAGTTGCTGACATGTGATTGGCTGATTAGATATTCGCATTGTGTGTTCATCTTTACAGTACAGAGATCTACTGTAGAGGCACACCAAGAACTAGAGCTGTGCCCTGGATCCAGGTGTTCTGGTTGGTCTGATTTCATTTCAAACCTTTATTTATCCAGGTGTATCCCATTGAGATCATTGATCTCTTTTTCAAGGGAGACCTGCTCAAGTAGGTTCCACATGAAACATTAAAACAACAGAACAACAAAATGACTGATTGGGGTCAGCAGGTGTTTAGTTTACCTGTCGCTGTAGAGCTTCAGAAGGTGTTTAGTTTACCTGTCGCTGTAGAGCTTCAGCAGGTGTTTAGTTTACCTGTCGCTGTAGAGCTTCAGCAGGTGGAAGCAGAGGTCGTGCAGAGGGCGTTTGGTTTCCTCCTCTTCCTCCTCCTCCAGGTGAGGCTCCTCTTCCTCCAGGTAGGGGGGCAGGGGGGCCACGGCGTACTTCCCCCCCTCACAGGAGCCCTGCAGGGTTTAAACGTGTCACATTTAATAAAGTCCTCCGAGAAGAACCACAACATGGGTGTGAATGCTGACGGCTGGCTGGAGCTAGACTACATATAAAAGAAGTTTGGATGTCTGAGAGATAAGACCTGTTTTGTGGGTTAGGGGCTTTGATTCAGGAAATACAGCTTTTTTGTACAGAACTCTCCCGTTGAAAGAATTGAGCCAAACATTGAGATGTTTTTGAATGTTTTCTGTAAATAATAACAGAAAGGTAAACCTTACCTGGAAGGCAGTCTCGTATCCGGACAGAGCGTCGGCCACGGAGGAGGTGGGAGGGAGCAAGAACCAGAGAGAGACCCCGATACACCGCTTCCAATCCAACTCAGAGAACACGTTCACTGACGAATCAGACGACTGCCACACCTGAGAGAGAGAGCACAGGTGAGCCACTTCATCCACAGCAACAAGACCTCAGACATAAGAGTGTGTGTGTGTGTGTGTGTGTGTGTGTCTCACCCCTCTCCCTGACAGCAGGGTGTGTGTGTGTGTGTGTGTCTCACCCCTCTCCCTGACAGCAGGGTGTGTGTGTGTGTGTGTGTGTGTGTGTCTCACCCGTCTCCCTGACAGCAGGGTGTGTGTGTGTGTGTGTGTCTCACCCCTCTCCCTGACAGCAGGGTGTGTGTGTGTGTGTGTGTGTGTGTGTGTCTCACCCCTCTCCCTGACAGCAGGGTGTATATCTTCAGTCTCTCCTCAGCAACGTAGCTGTCTGTCTGAAGGCTCCTCCAGTCGTTCAGCTGCAGAAACAGCAGCTCTCTGCAGTCCTGAGACCCCCCCGCCTGGGAGAGGAGGAGCGAGAGACAGTGGTCTCCTGGGGGGGGGGGGGGGGGGGGGGACAGTATATTATTAAAGGTCTCCTATCGTGCTATTTTTAGGCATATATTATGGGTCTCAGATATATATAAAACATGTCTCTGAAGTGTTTTGCTCCAAACAGTTCATTCTAGCCTCATCCCCCTCTCTTCCAGCTGTTACTCAGTGTAAGAACACGTTTTAGAGAGTACTTGTCCATGGACAAGTGAGTTTGGCAATTTACTTGTCCGAATACGTTTTTCACTTGTCCATTCTGGACTCCTCCCTCTCATCTCATCTCCCTCCTCCTCCTCACCTTGACTCTGAGCGAGACAGCAGGCTTCACTGATCTGGTTCCCTGTGAGGAGGCTGAAGATGGCGTCGATGTGTCGGTGTTTCCCAGCGAGCGCCACCTCCTCCTCCACGCGAGAGGAGGCTCCCCGGGACAGCCAGGAGGAGAAGGTGTTCCTCCTCTGGATCTGCTGCTCGTACTCGCTGATGTCTTCCTGTTCGGAGCCCAGTCGACCCCACAGGGCCTCGAGGAGGCTCCAGACCTCCGACCAGGGGCCCAGCAGCGCTGAAGACACAGAGGGGGTCCATTTAACATTTAGGGTCTTTTAATGCTGTTGTAGGGGGGGGGGGGGGGTTATACGTGGGAAGGACTAGCTTTGTTCAGTGTGTGTGCTGCCCAGGAAGCTACTGCCACTACATTCCAGTGGTTTAGAGCAGAGCTGGGAAGTAGTGGAGTACAAATACTTTGTTACTGTACTTAAGTACATGTTTCTGGTATCAGTACTTTACTCCACTACGTATATTTCTGACGACTTTTTACTTTGACTTCTTACATTTCTAACACAAATACCTGTACTTTCTACTTCTTACATGTTGAACACAAATACCTGTACTTGCTACTTCTTACATGTTGAACACAAATACCTGTACTTTCTACTTCTTACATGTTGAACACAAATACCTGTACTTTCTACTTCTCACATCTTCCAAACAGGCTGGTTCCTTTAGTTTGAATGTGTGTTTTGTGGCGTGATCATTATTATTTAGAGTCATTGCGTGCCTATTGATTTGAACACGATCCGTGTATCCATCATTTCCTGCTCTTCTCTAAAGAAGAGGGACCAATGAAAACGTTGTCATGTTGCCGTTGTTCAGCATGGAAACATTCATTAGCTAACAATGACATTATTGTTCTATTAATATAAAGGGAGGTCAGGTACTCTTTAAAACAGCTGCTAGTTATGGGTACTTTTTACTGAAGTACATTTCAAAGCCCTCTTTACTTTGACTTGAGGAAAGAAGTTTAGTCAGTACTTCTACTTTCACCAGAGTATTTTTAAACACGAGTATCTGTACTTCTACTTGAGTAAAGGATGTGTGTACTTTTGCCATCTCTAGTGTAGAGTAACTAAGTACATTTACTCGAGTATGGTACTTCTACTCTAACCCAAGTACAGGATCCGAGTACTTCTCTCACCTCTGCTAAATTCAATGTAATCTCATGCATATCACTTTGAGTCTTGTATAGTTACAGTTCCCCTGGTACTCACGCTCAGCGGCCCCCCTGCTGCTCAGCTCTCTGATCCAGTCGGAGTACTGGTGTAGCGCCTCCACCCCGGGGCGGGGGGTCACCAGGGGGCAGGGCGAGCCAGAGGGGGTCTCCACGCTGCTGTTCATCAGACTGATCTCTAGGGGGCGCTGCACATCATCATCATTATCCTCCTGATCCTGATCCTTCACCTCCAGCTGCTCAACAACCACCTTATAGCAGCTCTCCATCAACCTGCAGGGACACAGAGGTGGGAGAGGGAGAGGGGGGGGTGTGTGAGTGAGTGTGTGAGTGTGTGTGGGAGAGTGTGTTTATGTGTGGGCGAGTGTGTGTGAGTCTGTTTGTCAGTGTGTGTGAGTGTGTGTGTATGTATGTATGAGCGAGCGAGCGAGCGAGCGAGCATGTGAGAGAGTGAGTGTGGGAGAGTGCGTGTGTGTTTATGTGTGTGAGTGGGAGAGTGTGTGTGTGGGAGGGTGTGTGTGTGTGTGTGTGTGTGTGTGTATGTGTGTGTGTGTGTGTGTGTGTGTTGTGTGTGTGTGTATGTGTATGTGTGTGTGTGTGTATGTGTATGTGTGTGTGTGTGTGTATGTGTATGTGTGTGAGTGTTGTTGTGTGTGTGTGTGTGTGTGTGTGTGTGTGTGTGTGTGTGTGTGTGTGTCTCACGGTCTGCTCCTGGCTGATGGCAGGAAGCTGAACTCATTCTTTGTGAAGTTGTTGGTGTTCTTCTCCTCGGAGCTGACCCTCTCTCCTGAGTGAACCAGAGTCCAGCCGGGCCCCCAGCCCACTCTGAAGGAGCGCCCTCTGAAGAGCGCAGCGTCCATCAGCAGAGACCCCTACACACATTTAGAGAAAAATGTTTAATTAAAAAAAGAAAATGTTTAAATAAATGTATTGTAAAAAAAAAATACAATTTTATGAATAATCCAAAAAATGTAATTAAATAAATGAATAAATAAATAGCTTGTAAAAGAAAATATATATAAAAAAATATACTAAATTAAATGTAATTAATAAATAATCAAAAATACACATACCTTCCCCTGAGTGATGGAGTCTTTGAGGGGCACGGGGCCCCCGAGCCTCCGGACCCCCACGGTCCTGACGGAGGGCTCGGGGGGGCGCTGGGGCAACAGGAAGCTAGAGGAGCCGGCCCAGCGGGGGGGCTCTGAGGAGGCAGGGGGAGGGGGGCGGGGCGAGTCAGGGAGAGAGAACAGACCGGAGGAGAAACGAGCCTGAAGGAGACCCCCCACTGAGGAGAGAGAGACATATTATATTGATCAGTATTATGAGAGAGGAAATAACAAATAGGAAGTGAGTGTGAGTGTGAGTGTGTGTGTGTGTACCTGACGTTCTGCTCTGAGGCAGCACGATGCGAGGAGAAGAGACCTCGGAGCTCTTCATCACCGCCGGCGGCTCCTGGAACATGTCCTCCTCATCTTCAGCGAAAAGAGAGGCCTTCATGATCTGCACAACAACAACAACAACATCAACGCTCTTATTCTGAAGGAACTGAGCACTTCCTGTCTGCTGTGTGACAGGGACAGTGGACATCATCTAGAGCGCTATAAAAATTAAACGTATTATTGTTATTCTGACCGTGAGTGAGTGAGTGAGTGTGCGTGCGAGTGCGTCTGAGTGAGTGCATGCGTGCTTGTATGCGAGTGTGTGTTGTGCGTGCGAGTGTGTGTTGTGCGTGCGAGTGTGTGTGAGCGAGTGTGTGTGTGAGCGTGCGTGCTTGTGTGTGAGTGTGTGTTGTGCGTGCGAGTGTGTGTGAGCGAGTGTGTGTGTGAGCGTGCGTGCTTGTGTGTGAGTGTGTGTTGTGCGTGCGAGTGCGTGTGTTGTGCGTGTGAGTGTGTGTGTGCAATCTGACCTGCAGGGTGTGTGGGTTGATGCCCAGCGAGGACATCATGCAGCTGGATGATGACATCACTTCGTGCTCGTTGGGAATCGAATCGTCGATCGTCTCCTCCGTCGTCTTCTTCCCCTTCGGCAGTTCCTCGTCTTCATCACCTCCCAGCATGCTCTCTGTCGTGATGTCGGCCATGACGCTGTCCAGCTCCGGGAGGTCTGACACCGCGGGGGACTGCGGATAGACTCATCATCACTATTCTCCTCATCATCACTATAATTTTCATCATCATCATCATCTATTTACATGTATATAGAATTTTTGCACAACTTTTTATTTTATTATATATGTTGCCATTTCTACACTGCAGCTGCTGAGCATGACAATAAAACCTTTGAATCTTCTTCATCATCATCATCGTCATCTTAGTCCAAAGAGGTTACAAATATATATTAAAAGATTAATCTCTAACTATTGGTATTTTACTTTATAAAGCAACCTCATATTTTATTAACTCAAAGCACTTCATATTTTTAAACTTAAAAGCAGACCTTTGTAGATACTCCATGTATTAATATCCGTGTCTACGTAAGCAGTTCTTTCCTAATACTGTTTTTGTTATATTCATTTATACTGCACCTTAAAGGTAGGGTAGGTAAGAATGGAGAAACCGGCTCGAGATCGCTAGAATCTGAAAATACACAACCGAAAAGAATCTGCCCCTTCCTTCAGACTTCCTTACAGAGCCCCTCCTCCAACACACACGAACGTGCACATGACCAATGAGGGCACGAGATAAGTTTGTGCACAGATGGAAGGCTGACAGGCAGGTAGGCCATCCAGTTATTTTAGCCGGGCCGGCTCAGATGATTGGTCGTGCTTTTTACAGCGCCACGGCTTCCACAGATGATATTTTTGTATATACTTATTGCCAAAGCATTTAATGTATTCATTGCTATCGGGATGTTAAGAGCATTCCATGGAATATAACAAAGTGTTTCTGAAGTGAATTACCTACCCCACCTTTAAGAACAATTAGCAAAATATTAACTGTAAAGGTGCAGAATGCAGAAAAAAATTGTTAATAAAATGTCCACGGTAATTGGAGTTAGAGCATCATCATCATCATCATCATCATCATCGTCTTAATCCAAAGCTATTTACAATAAGTGGAAAACCCTTGAAGAGTTTTTTGTTTTTTAATTATTATTGAAGAGTCTTGCAGGTACTACTTCCTGTCTATAAACCCAACAGATCGAGAGCTACTGCGTTAGCTTCACTTCAATCCTTTCTAAGAGCTGCGTAGAGGAACTGTTCACAGCCTGGACTTCATTTATGGAAGTAAATCTGCAGGTTCCTGCGAGTTGAAGTCGTTGAAAACATATCTAAAGTATTTGTTGACGTCTTGGGAGCTACAGGAGTTCATTACCTGGTCAGATGGTTGATGAAACATCCACACATTTACAGCAAGATTAGCTTTTTTTAATCCATATTCTGAATTTCTACGAAGGATCATTAGGAAAAAGAGTGAGCGAGTGTGTGAGCGAGAGTGTGAGTGAGCGAGCCAGAGTGTGTGTGTGAGCGAGTGTGTGAGTGAGCGAGCCAGAGTGTGTGTGTGAGCGAGTGTGTGTGTGAGTGTGAGCGTGAGTGAGCGAGCGTGAGTGTGTGTGTGAGCGAGTGTGTGAGTGAGCGAGCGTGAGTGTGTGTGAGCGAGCGTGTGTGAGTGTGAGTGTGAGTGAGCGAGCGTGAGTGTGTGTGTGAGCGAGTGTGTGAGTGAGCGAGTGTGTGAGTGAGCGAGTGTGTGAGTGAGCGAGTGTGAGCGTGTGTGTGAGTGAGCGTGAGAGTGTGTGTGTGTGTGAGCGTGTATGAGTGAGTGAGTGAGTGAGTGAGCGTGTGTGAGTGAGCGAGTGTGTGAGTGTGAGCGTGTGTGTGAGTGAGCATGAGAGTGTGTGTGAGCGTGTATGAGTGAGTGAGTGAGTGTGAGAGTGTGTGTGTGAGTGACCGAGTGTGAGCGTGTGTGTGAGTGAGCTTGAGTGTGTGTGTGTGAGCGTGTATGAGTGAGTGAGCGAGTGTGAGAGTGTGTGTGTGTGAGTGACCGAGTGTGAGTGTGAGTGTGTGAGTGTGAGCGTGTGTGTGAGTGAGCATGAGAGTGTGTGTGAGCGTGTATGAGTGAGTGAGTGAGTGTGAGAGTGTGTGTGTGAGTGACCGAGTGTGAGCGTGTGTGTGAGTGAGCTTGAGTGTGTGTGTGTGAGCGTGTATGAGTGAGTGAGCGAGTGTGAGAGTGTGTGTGTGTGAGTGACCGAGTGTGAGTGTGAGTGTGTGTGTGTGAGCGTGTATGAGTGAGTGAGCGAGTGTGAGAGTGTGTGAGTGAGCGAGCGTGTATGAGTGAGTGAGCGAGTGTGAGAGTGTGTGTGTGAGCGTGTATGAGCGAGTGTGAGAGTGAGCGTGTGAGTGAGCGAGCGTGAGAGTGTGAGCGTGTGTATGAGCGAGTGTGAGAGTGTGTGTGTGAGCGTGTATGAGTGAGTGAGCGAGTGTGAGAGTGTGAGCGTGTATGAGCGAGCGTGTGTGTGTGTGTGAGTGTGAGCGAGCATGTATGAATGTGTGAGGGTTTTTCCAGCTATAACATTTCATTTAAGTTATAATTATAATCATAACAATAATAATCATTGATGGATTCATTTCATTATGGTATTTGAGCTTCATAACGCTTCAAACCCTAACCCCTCCACTGGTTTCAACCAAGCACTAAATTCAATGTTTTCAAACCAAATACGGTTGAACTTACACTTCCCCATATTTATTTGTAAGTAGATTCGAAGATACCAAGGTTCCTGACTGCCGCCAGCTGAAGCTTGGTTGCTAGGTTACTAGCTGGGTGTTCTCCGATAAGGGGCCGGGGGAAACAAAGTTAGTGATTACTGGTTCCATGTTGATTTATTTCAATACAGATTGTTGAGGGGAACTGAAAGGCTCTTACCGTACTGGTTACTTTGCAGCCCGGACATTTCCCCCAAAACACATTTAGACGCGATCGCGACACAGAAGTACCTTTCAAATCCCATCATTTTTAAGACCTTCTTATTTTTTTGATCATATTTAAGACTTTCTAAGGCCTTAAATTCAGATTATCATATTTAAGACCCCGCGGGAACCCTGAGTAATAAACTGTAATATCTCCGGGACAACCGCTACACACCAAAGATTAAACTCCGTTACTTTATTTTCATGAACATTCGTACAGTTTGTTGGGACCACACGTCTCAAAGCAGGTTAGAAACGTGCTGAACACACCTGACTTCACAATATAAAGAATACCAAACCTAAACGGCTGATAAAAACACCATTACTTCCCAGATCTCTCTCGTTGTTATTTACATCTGTAACAACGTTAAGACGCTTCCTCATGTCTTTACTCCAGTTAAAGATGGAGAGTAAAGCGAATCAAATACCTTCCCTCTTGTTTTTGTGACTGAGTTTATCCTGTGAACTAAAAGACAGAGATATTTCCTCCTGCTTTAACGCAGACGTCAAACACGCAAAAACTCTGATGATTCAGACAGTACCATCTACCTCTAGTATACGGTCACTTAAAAACAATATATACTGCTATTACCATGATGTGCTTTTTGTTTTTTTATTATTAATAACGTGTGCCGACTTAGTTTGTAACATTTAAGTCTATTCTCTGCACTTTATCTGCTGTTAGAAGCACTCAATGATATCTTATTTTAGCTATGAGTGAAAGGCTCCTTTAGAGCTGCAGAGTGAAGATGTTTTTCAAAATAAAAGCGCGGCAGATGAGTGAAATGCTCTTTTGAAGCTGCAGTGTGAAGAGGTTTTTCAAAATAAAAGCACGGCAGATTATGAATGAAATGCTCCTTAAAAGCTGCAGTGTGAAGATGTTTTTCAAAATAAAAGCACGGCAGATTACGAGTGAAAGGCTCCTTAAAAGCTGCAGTGTGAAGATGTTTTTCAAAAATAAAAGCGCTGAAGATTATGAATGAAATGCTCCTTTAAAGATGCAGTGTGAAGAGGTTTTTCAAAATAAAAGCACGGCAGATTACAAGTGAAAGGCTCCTTTAAAGCTGCAGTGTGAAGATGTTTTTCAAAATAAAAGCGCTGAAGATTATGAGTGAAATGCTCCTTAAAAGCTGCAGTGTGAAGATGTTTTTCAAAATAAAAGCATGGCAGATTACGAGTGAAATGCTCCTTAAAAGCTGCAGTGTGAAGATGTTTTTCAAAATAAAAGCACGGCAGATTACGAGTGAAAGGCTCCTTAAAAGCTGCAGTGTGAAGATGTTTTTCAAAATAAAAGCACGGCAGATTACGAGTGAAAGGCTCCTTAAAAGCTGCAGTGTGAAGATGTTTTTCAAAATAAAAGCACGGCAGATTACGAGTGAAAGGCTCATTAAAATCTGCAGTGTGAAGAGGTTTTTCAAAATAAAAGCATGGCAGATTATGAGTGAAAGGCTCCTTTAAAGCTGAAGTGTGAAGATGTTTTTCAAAATAAAAGCACGGCAGATTATGAGTGAAAGGCTCCTTTGAAGCTGCAGTGTGAAGAGGTTTTTCAAAATAAAAGCACGGCAGATTATGAATGAAATGCTCCTTTAAAGCTGCAGTGTGAAGATGTTTTTCAAAATAAAAGCACGGCAGATTATGAGTGAAAGGCTCCTTTGAAGCTGCAGTGTGAAGAGGTTTTTCAAAATAAAAGCACGGCAGATTATGAATGAAATGCTCCTTTAAAGCTGCAGTGTGAAGAGGTTTTTCAAAATAAAAGCACGGCAGATTATGAATGAAATGCTCCTTAAAAGCTGCAGTGTGAAGATGTTTTTCAAAATAAAAGCACGGCAGATTACGAGTGAAAGGCTCCTTAAAAAGCTGCAGTGTGAAGAGGTTTTTCAAAATAAAAGCTCGGCAGATTACGAATGAAAGGCTCCTTTAAAACTGTAGTGTGAAGATGTTTTTCAAAATAAAAGCGCGGCAGATTACGAATGAAATGCTCCTTAAAAGCTGCAGTGTGAAGAGGTTTTTCAAAATAAAAGGATTTGTCAACTTGTATGTAGTTAATCTATCTATATACGTAGATGTGATCATTTTGTTATACTTGATGAATATTTTCTTAAAATACAAAAAAAGAAATAAGAAATGCTCCTTTAAAGCTTGGTGTGTCAGTGATGATGAGGATGATGATGATGATGATGAGTGATGAAGGCAGGCTGCTCTACCTGCTGCTGGGCGGGGGGGAGCAGCTTCTGCAGACGCGAGGCAGGAAGTGACATCGTCTTCAGCTTCTTGGGGTCAGATTTGAGCGGCACTTCCTCCTCTTCGTCAGAGTCCTGCAGGCCGTACTTTGAGAAGTGGGCGACCTGAGGAAGGGTTAAGGATTTAAATTAGTAATGATGAACACAAGGCTTTAAAAAGGTCTGTAGCTCCGTACGAAAGACAATAAAAGCCTTCTCTCTCTGGTATGACTGAGGGTCTCTGACCTCGAACACCCAGGACCCGGTCTCCGTCCTATACTCCAGGAAGCGGGCCCCCTGCCTGCGCGAGGCCTTCTCCAGCCGGCCCTCGTAGTTCATCTCCGTCAGACGCTCCGGGCTGCGGATCTGAGCGCACGACGTCTTATCGTTGGGCCAGACGCCGTCCAGAGTCACCTCCGCCTTCCTGAGGGGAAACACAGAGAACACATACAGGGTCAGAGAGAGACAGGTGGTGACAGGAAGTGGATGAACAGTTCAGATAGACCCCGCCTCTCACCTGTTAAGCCCCTCCCCCTCTGGGGGCTTGTTCTTGTCGTCGGGGTAAACGATGACCTCTTTGCGTCTGAAGTGCACGATGTCGTCCAGGTTCAGCCCCGATGCGTTCACCTCTCCGGGGAAGAAGATGGAGCCGTAGCCTGAATGTAAAAAAAGTGTTTTAAATATAAATGTTTCCTCTTTTAAATCATATTAAAGTTTGACATCAGGTGGAAGACGTTTACCTTTCCTTCCCACGGTGAAGTTCTCCACCAAACAGTCTCCGTTTCCATCCACCATCTCAGCCAGGTCCTCCATGGAGGGAATGGTGTAGTAACCAACGCGGTTCAGAACGATGCCTGTTGGGATAATTATTGATTTTAATACTAGACATTTTAATCCTGAACAGAGCTTGTTCTGCACTTTCTGTTCCTGTGAAAGACATCTCAGAGCCGTACAAGACACTTAGCATCCTATATAACAAATAACATGCATAAAAACACGTTAAAACACTTTAAGGATTATTATAGTTTAGTGTCTGACCTGCAGGGTGAGGAGGCTGCTGCTCCAGCTGCTCTTCCTCTTGTTCCTCCTGCAGAGACTCCTCACACAGAGACGCTGAGATATCATCGCTGCTCACCTGGAAACATGGAGAGAATCAGACAAAATGTGAGTAAAAATCAGACAAAGTTTAAATTATGAATCCATTAAATCTTAGTTTCCAAAATGATCAATAAATCAGACATAAAGCGTCTCACCTCCAGGCCGTTGCGCGCGGCTTTGTGCATGTTGAGCTCGCTGATGGTGTCCTGCAGCACCGTGGGGGGGCTGAAAGCGACCGGCTTAGAGATCGGGTTCACGTAGAACTGAGACACTTCTGGATCCTCTTCTGTTCGACTGCTGACACCCGCCATCTCCTCCTCGTCCTCCACATGACTGCTGACAGAATGAGAGTAAACATCAGACACAATGCAAGTCCAAAAGTGAGTAAAAACCAGGTTAAAACAACACTTCTGAGCCCAAGTTAAACCCAGCTTTAAAGGGTGCTCCTGATGGATTGTGTGTGTACCTGTGCCCGTTGTGAGGGTACTCTGGGGGCGAGGCCAGGTCATCGATCTCCTTGCTCAGAGGGCTGCTGTACTGACTGCTGTTCAGGTTCTTCAGGACCAGCTTCTTGATGCTCTTCCTGGGAACGAACGCCCCGTTTGTGAGCGACGGCTCGTCGTCGTCCAGCCCGTCGAACAGCTGAGACTTTGAAGCCCCCGAAGAACCCAAAGCTTTGGGCCGGACGCGTGTCGCCGGACGGGGGGTGAGCTTGTAGTGAGTGGGCGTGGTCAGAGCCTTCTGGGCCGTGGGATTGGTCGGTTTCAGACGCTGGAAAGACACAGAGGAGGGGTTAGATACACGAAGGGTTTGAGGATTTGGAAATCTGTTTTTTGTTTTAAAATAGTAAAAAAAACTGACAAAATGTGAGTAAAAGTGAGTAAAAAACAGACAACATTTGAGTAGAATTCTGATATAATGTGATACAAATCAGATTTCTGTCCGTCTCTGTTTGTGGTTCATGTGAGTCTCACCTCCTCCTTCTTCTTGGGGTCTGACAGCGGGTTTCTGAACAGAGGAGAGTCTCCGTACGGAGAATACGCCAGAACACTGAGCTGCTGCTGCAGCAATGCATGCTGGGCCGCCGCGCCGCTGGGGTCCGTCAGCGCTGAGGAGGAAACACAAAGAACAGTTTTATACCACAGAAAATAAGGCTATTAAACACCGGAACTCTGTGAAGTGCCTCGATAAGCATTCATCTGTTTGTGTCTTAATGCACATTATTTAATTTCATATTCTGTTCATATCATATTCCATTTACATGGATATAGACTTTTTGCACTACTTTTATTATATATGTTATTGGAGGAGCTCAGGTCAGAATAATTTCATTGCCATTTCTACTCTGTAGCTTATGAGCATCTGACAATAAAACCTTTGAATCTTGAGAAGCAGAGTGAGACGTTCCTGTCGGCAGAGATGGCAAAAGTACACACATCCTTTACTCAAGTAGAAGTACAGATACTCGTGTTTAAAAAATACTCTGGTGAAAGTAGAAGTACTGACTAAACTTCTTTACTCAAGTCAAAGTAAAGAGGGCTTTGAAATGTACTTCAGTAAAAAGTACCCATAACTAGCAGCTGTTTTAAAGAGTACCTGACCTCCCTTTATATTAATAGAACAATAATGTCATTGTTAGCTAATGAATGTTTCCATGCTGAACAACGGCAACATGACAACGTTTTCATTGGTCCCTCTTCTTTAGAGAAGACCAGGAAATGATGGATACACGGATCGTGTTCAAATCAATAGGCACGCAATAGCCGTGTTCACACCAAGTACTTTGCCGTACTTGGTGCCGTCACTTATTACCCCAGGGCATTTAGTACAGATCGCGTTCACACCGGAATAAGTTCCCTGAGGGAAGATTACGCAAATGAGCCGCTGACGTCACTTCTTCTTCTTCTGCTTTGGGTTTACTGGCAGGCCGCAAACAACTTCACGGCGTATACTGCCACCCGAAGTCCCCGGCCGGAAGTCCCCGGAGTTGGGGACAGGCTTCAGTAGAAGCTGCTGGGACTCCCAGCAGCTTCTACTGAAGCCTTCAGAGTAAATCGCCAGAACGCCGACACCTCCTCATCTCCACCGCTCCCATGTTTTCTTTTGTGTTGCCATAAGTTAGTCTCTCTGCGTTTGTGCGCTGGGCGAATGCTAATGCTAATAATGCTAATGCGAGGATAATAAAATGGCAGCTCTACAAAACATTTCAGAGTTGTACGGGGCGTGGTTTGCAATTCGCCCAGCCAATCAGAATGGGGCACTTTTTTCCCCCAGGAAAGTACCATCTCTCAGCAGGCACTAAAAATGGGGGTAAAAGTTCTCGGCACTCAGTTCTCTTTTTGGTGTGAACGCGACATAAGGGGTACTAACGGAACTAAAGGCGAAAAGTACGGGGAAAAGTACTCCGGTGTGAACGCGGCTATTGACTCTAAATAATAATGATCACGCCACAAAACACACATTCAAACTAAAGTAACCAGCCTGTTTGGAAAATGTAAGAAGTAGAAAGTACAGGTATTTGTGTTCAACATGTAAGAAGTAGAAAGTACAGGTATTTGTGTTCAAAATGTAAGAAGTAGAAAGTTCAGGTATTTGTGTTCAAAATGTAAGAAGTTAAAGTAAAAAGTCCTCAGAAAAATAAGTAGTGGAGTAAAGTACTGATACCAGAAACATGTACTTAAGCACAGTAACAAAGTATTTGTACTCCACTACTTCCCACCTCTGCCTGTCGGGCTGAATTTCACTTTGATCTGAACCACTCACCAACTGCCTGCTGTGGCGCTCCGAAGCCCATCGAAGTCGCTCCGGTGTTGAACGCCGACGCTCCGAACGCTCCCATCGTTCCCAGAGTGGTGCCCAGTTTACCCTGAGTGTTCCCGAACAGAGACGTCTGTCCTGGCACTGCTGCACAGACACACACTTTATTAGTATACGAGTGAGGACGATCTTTATCTCAGTCTGTAAAATCTCATAAAATGTGAGTATGAATCTGCCTGGGCTCATGGCTGTGTATTATGGGATGTACCTGCTCCGAAGCTGGTTCCCAGAGCAGCTCCCAGTCCTCCGGTGGCCGGTTTGTTCCCAAACAGACCCCCAGCAGCCGGGTTGGCACCGAACCCTGCAGAAACACAAACATCAGAGATGAGTTATTAATGCCACTCTGATAATGGTATTTCCCCCCACTGTCACCAATAGACTGACCGAAAGTGGAGGTGTTGGTTCCCGCCCCCAGCGTGAGAGCTGGTTTGTTTCCGAACAGCCCGGTGCCGGTGCCGAAGGACGGAGCGCTGGTGGTGGTGGTGCCGAACCCTGCCGTCTTATTACCAAATAAACTCTGCTGTAACACACACACACGGTGACGTTAACAAAGTGACGTTAACACACGGTGACGTTAACACACACACGGTGACGTTAACACACAGTGACGTTAACACACATCAGAATAAGTCATTAAAAGGTCACACGTTATAAATCCTCCCGAGGTTAATGTGTGTACTGGATGTACTCATGAATTTCCTTAGGATTCGATAAGATAATAATCAAGTCTGACGTTTTTCTTGCATCACAGCAGCTCCATTTACACCATCAAATAAGGACCAATATTAAGACAAGGGAACAAGCATTTAAAATAACATCACAAACATGCTCAAAGACCCTCTAATGTAATGTAAATGGTTTAGTAATGTATTGATTTGGTGTTTCAATCATCAGTAGAGTGTGTGTATGTATGTATGTATGTATGTATGTGTGTGTGTGTGTGTGTGTACCTGTGTGCCGACGTTCCCGAACCCGGTGTTGGTTTGTCCGAAGAGTCCGGTGGCCGCCCCGAAGCCGGTGGCCGCGGCGCTGGGCTGAGCGGCGCCGAACAAGCCGGTGGGCTGAGGAGCCGCCGTGTTCCCAAAGAGACCCTGAGGACGGAGAGGAGGTCAGAACCAGAACCAGAACACACTGAACATCCAGAACACACTGAGGAAGCAACACTAAAGAGACTCTGAGGACGGAGAGGAGGTCAGAACCAGAACAGAGGTGAGGTTATATCCCTCAGCTTGCGTATAACTTTGGGATCTGACTAATGACTGGAAGTCTATGGAACAGATGCCGTGTTGAGGGTTAAATCGGAGGGAAATAGTCCAATAGAAATGCAACTCTTTTTTTTCTGGTTGTGACTGTCGCACATTGATATAAGTGTTTCTTATAAACTGTAGTGGCAGGGGAAAAGGTTTAAAGCATGTGGTTTGTATTGAAATGAAAACTATGATACATGTATATTATCCTCGCAACTGCAGTTGTTAAATGTCCACTGTTATGTACCAGGGTATATGCATGAATCCTGAAGTCACATGTAATACCTTTTAAGACCTTTTCTAAGACCCTTTCCATACATTTTAAGACCTCATCGCCACTTGGAGTTCTAACCGGTTACATTGGCGACACACTTTACCTCACATTGACTATATACAGTATTGATTGTCCTTCCTCCTTATCTTCCAACCATTTGGACGCAGACTTGCATTTCCCCATAACGATGTTGTTTAACAACCGGCGTAAACGGACCTTCGCGCGCTATCAAGCAGTGAGCGTGTGATGTCCTGTTCAGATGACGTCAAATCCAACGGGATGCCATAAATAAACTATCACACTACACACCTACGCAATGATTACATTCAGGCAGACTGTAGAATACAACCTCTTTGGACAATTGATATACTTATTGAAAGCAAGCTACAAAATGTAATACCTTGGAAAATGCCGTTGAATATTTTTTAATAGCCTTAATTTTCTCTAAATTGATTTATCAACTTTTAATACTTTTTAAGACCCCGCGGACACCCTGTGTACGGTTTGAGGGTGTGGTTCTGCAAGCCTCATCTGCATATTCACCTGTCGCGGCGCGCCCAGAGGCTTTTCAGTGGGCGTGTCACCGGGATGCGAGAGGTTGGTTCTCACGGGAGGAGAAAGTGTGTGTGGCGAATGCTGGTATTCAGCGGGTTATTGAAGTTTTCCTTAGCATGTATATATGTGGTTAAATGCAACGGGGAAGTAAATGAAAATAACTGAAGGTGTGGATATTGCATCGACTGACCAAGAAGCACGTCTCCGTGGAGAGGACGCGCTCAGATAGAGACAGATATTCTCTACAACACCGGGTGAGATCGTTCCTTTGGGACACGCCGGTCCTCGTGTTTCCTTTTTTTTGTGGATTATAGTCTGAATAGGCCGACAAACATTTCTGTTTTTGCTGCCGACGGGCGCAGGAGCAGCAGTTTTTTCCAATGAACAATAGCGGCCTGGATTAGGCAGTAAAGACACTTTTGGGTTATCGCAGAGCGGACTTTGTTTAATTTTGTTTGTGTTGTTTGGCTGGAAAACTGTCAATATAATGTAATAACGCATAAAACCTGTCTCTGTTTATTTTGTGGAAAGAGTAGAGTCAGCGTTTATCAGTTCTGTTTTGCCTTTATAATATTATTTCATTCAAGAACCCCTTGTGCGTTTAATTAACACAACTATTTTAGATAGTTCGTTACATGGTAAAGGAAGCACATGGCTTCACTTCACATGGTTTAATAATTGAGATGTTTGCAGGTAAACACTCACGATGCTGCTGGTGTTGGCCTGGCCCATGGTGTTGGTGTTTCCGAAGGAGAATCCGGAGCTCTGGGTGGTGGTGGTCGCTCCGAAGGGTTTGAAGAGGCTACTGGCCGCTGCCGCCTGCTGCGCCTGCTGCTGCTGTTGTTGTTGTTGTTGCTGCTGTTGTTGCTGCTGCTGCTGAGCCGCCTGCTGCTGCCCGAACAGACCGCCGGCCGTCGCTCCGAACCCCCCGGCAGCCGCTGCAGAGAGAGGACACAGCGGCACATGTTGAATCACACACACACACAGTGTTTCATAGCTTTCCAAAGATATCCTTAACGTGTTTGTTCTCCGAATATTCAGCTAAATATTTCACGTGACATGATGACACGATTCTGAGGAAAAGGCCTCTAAAGTTTGCCGCCAAGTTTTTAGACAACGTTATTTTCAGAGGGTGCTTAAAGCTCAATATTTGGGGGCAAAGTACCCCTTGCCCTTCCTTTGGACCATCTTTGTTTGTCTATAACAAAGCTTTTTCACGGATGTTCTGAGTAACTCGTAAAGGTTTAGAGCAATGTGTGTGTATGTGTGTGACACGACTCGTGTTTCGACACGTGTGTAAATATACAGATACTATATCGGGTTTTCTATTGTTGCATCGATTCACTTAGTCTATTGTCATATTTATTATCATACATTTTACCTCCCTGTGTCTCTTAACCTGTTAAAATTGTATATTTTGTGGCCATGCTGCATGTATCTGTAAAGGTCTTAACATCTGAGGGGAATTTCTTGTGGCTTATTGTCAACTTGTGATGTGTTGCCATTGTATAAAGCACTTTGAGCTGCACGTGCTGTATGAAAAGTGCTAAATAAATCCCTGTTCCCGTCCCTGTTATCAGCCTTTAACTCTCAGAATGATCAGTAAAGGTTTACAGCAGTCTGTGTGTGAGTGTATTTTTATAATGTGCGTGATATGATACATGTTTCGACACGTGTTTGTAAATATACGGATAACCCCGTCCCTGTTCCCTCTCTTACGTGTGGCTCCGAAGGTGCTCTTGTTCTGTCCGAAGGAGAAGTTTGTGTTAGCGGCGGCGGCTCCGAACAGCCCGGTGGCGGCGCTGGGCGCGGCGGCGGCCGGCGTCCCGAACAAACCGCCCGTCGGCGCTGCCATCGGGTTGCTGGGTCCCTTCCTGCCCGCCGAGTAGTCCTCGAAACGCAGCTCCTGCAGGAAACACATATATCAGATTAATCACTAACCTTTCCTCAAACCTGCAGAGAGAAAGCATTAAAGCTGAACGTCTTCTGTCGCGACTCTGCTCTAAAGTCACGACTCTTCGTACTACTGTCACGACTCTGCTCTACCGCCACGACTCTGCTCTACTGTCACGACTCAACTCTTCACTCTACTGTCACGACTCTTCGTACTACTGTCACGACTCTGCTCTACCGTCACGACTCTGCTCTACTGTCACGACTCAACTCTTCACTCTACTGTCACGACTCTTCGTACTACTATCACGACTCTGCTCTACTGTCACGACTCAACTCTACGCTCTACTGTCACGACTCTTCACTACCGTCACGACTCAACTCTACGCTCTAATGTCACGACTCTTCACTACCGTCACGACTCTGCTCTACCGTCACGACTCTGCTCTACCGTCACGACCTTTCATACTACCGTCACGACAAGACTCTTGTACTACTCTCACAACTCTTCGTACCTATTTTATTTACTGTCCATTTGCCCTGTATGTATTTGATGTTTCTGCTGTGTTTACTTGTTGTTATTCTTACCTCCAGGGATTTGTTCTCGTACTCCTTCATGGCCGTGATGCACTGGTGCTTGGTGTTGATGCTCGTCGTCACGCCGGCCTTCACCATCGTGTCAGTTCCTGTCGGAGGCTGGAGGGAAAACAATTTTAAAATGTGTAAAATGTACAAATATTTGAGATATTAAAAAAAGATGAGTGAATATTTTCCACACATTTGCCGGACATTTTTTTAAACATAATTTCATATTTTTCTCAATGCATTTCATCTGAAGAACATTTTGCAGATATTTTTGGAATGTCTTTACATAATTATATTTAGGATCTTTTGCACATTTCCCAGATATATATTTCTGATACCTTCTGTGTTCCTGGCAGCCACAACAGAGGGCAATGATGCCGTTATGTCAGGGCACAATATGTTTAGGGGATGGCATCCTGAATAAACTTTATCAACAGTCAGAGGGACTCACGTTGAACTTGACAATGGTTTCTTTACATTATTATATTTAGGATCTTTTGCACAATTTCCCCTCTGTGGGACTAATAAAAGTATTCTGATAAACTTTATCAACACTCAAGGGGACTCACGTTGAACTTGACGGTGGTTCCCGGCTGCTGCTGAGCGGCGGTGAAGCCCGCCCCCCCGAACAGAGAGGACACGGCGCTCCCTCCGAAGGGATTGGAGGCGGCGGCGGCTGTGGACCCGAACAGCCCTCCACTGGCGGCGCTGGTCCCAAAGCCTGGAGGACACGATGGGAGGGAGACTTCTTCAGAGCGTTCAGTAGTTTCATAAGATAAACAAATCAAAACGACAGCTGGCTGAGCAGAGAGAAACGACTGCAGCGATGGATCATCGTTAGTACAAACCTGACAGAGATCAAGCATGGGAACGCTTGCCTTGTGAGTTAGGACACATTAGTAATACTCTGCTTTATAACATCAACATCAACACAAACAACCTCTGAACACAAGAACAGCTTCTTCCCGTCCGCTACCTCAATACTATAAAACCTGCACTCGTACATTTGCAAATATTTCTAGTATTTTCTACACTTAAAACATTTTCCATCTTTAAAATTCTGTGTTGTTTTTCTAAGTTTTGCCCCTCCCCTGACTCTCCATTTTATACTTTGATACCTGCAATGTCCCCTAATACGCCATTGATGTTCAGAATAAACTCCTAAATAACAGTCAGTAGTATTTTTATGTATTTGTATTTTAAAGTTGAGCACACTGGTCCTGTGACAAAACAATGTTCCCTACAGGGATCAATTAAGGTCCATCTTACCTTACTCACCGTATTTACAATTGGCAAACAGTACCAGCTACCCATTTCATTTTATACGGTCAAGTCTATATTCTCTCCACTCTATCTACACTATACTTCTGCTGTAAATGTCCCGAACTCCTTAGACCCAATAAAAGGTGCGTTGAGGGTGTTCTCACTTCCGAACGAGGTGGGTTTGCTGGCCCCGAAGGCATTGCTCGGCTGAGAGAAGAGTCCTCCGGTGGTTCCCGTGCCGGTGTTTCCGAACAGGCTCGTGGCGGTGCCGCCGGCGGCCGCTGCTCCGAACCCAAAACCTGTGGCAGCGGAGGAAGCTGGAGGCTGGCTGAAGGTGCTAGCTCCAAAAAGACCACCTGCTTTGGGGGGAGAGACAAATCAGGGAAGAGCTGTTATTTAGACATCTGGAAGGAAAAGCTGCTATTCAGACGTCTGGAAGAGCTATTCAGACGTCCAGAAGAGCTACTTGCTATCGAGAGCCACAGTGACGCGTCCTAAAACCCGGAAGTAAACTCCTTCCGGTTCCCTCGACAAAAAAGCAATGCAATTTCTCCATAGGATTTTGGAAAATAGCTCGAAATCAGGTCTGTGGTTGAGACACATTCAAGAGACGGATCACGTTTTGTTCAGCCGGATAATCTCCACATGTCTACCCTACCTTTATCATTTTCTAAATCGTAAATCTAATGTCCAGAAGCAAAATGCTAACGTTATGCTATAAAGGAACTACAGCCGAGTACAGCAGCACGACTTCAACGTCACGCCAACTTGAGATCCATATCAAACATAAAGATTCTAAATCACATGTGTCAAACTCAAGGCCCGGGGGCCAAATCAGGCCCTTGGTAGATTTACATTACATTACATTTTAGCTGACGCTTTTATCCAAAGCGACTTACAATTACCAATTACAGGGACATTCTCCCTGGAGTAACTGAAGGCTAAGTGCTTTACTCAAGGGCACACTAGTGGTGGTGTTGAACTCACAACCTTCCGATCTTCAGCCCACCTCACTATCCATTAGACCACCACTATCACTTTTAATTTCGGCCCGCAGGATAATTTTGTATTACCATTAGATCTGGCCCTCCGGTATATTGCACGCACACCTTCACTCCATCCTGAGGGTTTCCTCAGCTCAGAGCCTGACCCCAAACATTGATGACCTTGCACCCAAGATGAGATGCCAAGTATCTGGCTTGAACTAGCATCACAGAGCAGCACACTGAGTTTACATGTTTCCTTCTGCACTTTCTTTCTCACGACAAACAGAGCATGTTTGTTTTTTTCTTTGAGGGAAATAGTTTTTTTGAAGCTGTTGTTGGCCTGTGGGAAAATGTACTCATAAGAAATGAAGCTGCAGATAGAGCCATAAGAAATGAATGCAACTGATTATTTAATGTTTAATGTTGTTTTTATAGGCAATAATTTAAGCTTTGTTAGTTCCAGGTTTAATATGTGCAATAAGTTCATTTCAATAAGTTTTGTAATAAACATTGAACCAGTCCGGCCCTTGACTAGTACAGATTTATTTATTTTGGCCCACTGTGTATTTGAGTTTGACACCCCTGTTCAAAATGGTACGAGTTGAAGCGTTTGTTTGAACAGTTTGCAGGAGGCAGGTACTTGCTCTCAAGCAGAACAGGGCAAACAAACTTAGAGGAGTGTTTACGTGTTGGGCGTAATGACGTACAACGTCCTCCACAACTTCTGTAGTCCTATTCAGCCACTTGGTAACAACCATCGTTTTTCAGACACGTCAACTCTTCAAGAATCACCAGTGGGGTCACTGCTGATGGATTTAATGTTGTAGAACAAAACGTGATCCGTCTCTTCAATGTGTCTCAACCACAGACCTTAGTTCAGATGTTTCCTAAATCCTATGGAGAAATGTTATTGCTTTTTGTCGAAGGAACCGGAAGTGGTAAAATGCTAACTTACTTCCGGGTTTTAGGACGCGTGACTGTGGCTCTCTATTCAGACATCTGGAAGAGCTATTCAGACATCTGGAAGAGCTAGCTGCTTTGCTACACTGATATATGTTTGTATGTGCATGAATATAATGGCCCTGTTATATCAGTAACTACTTGTTGCTTGAATAAATAAAGATATGATGATTCAGACCGTTTGTAGAAGGGCTGTACCGACGGTTGAAATGCAGCTTTTTTTATCCACATGCATTGCTGCTGATTGTGGTTCAACACAGCATTAGTGCAGTGTCAGATGAAGAGGCTTCACTGATATTAATATTATACGAAGGGTTGAATTAGATTTCAGTGGTAGGAGTGTTTTTAGAATCGTGTGAGCGAAACGTATCCAACTCCAGTTTGTTGTAAGGTCAACTTTTATTGACAAAATACGTTTATATTTAACCAAATATTAGGTTTCCATTTTAGTGGTTGTTTAGCCTCAAAAAACAACATTTCCATGGGTTATATTAATTCACGATAGAGGACTTCATTAAGAAACACTAACTCATTCAATCCCATGAATCATTTTTTCCAAATTACGGATTAAAAAAGAAAAAAATTCCGGTGAAATTTGAAACTTCATTTGAAAACCTCCATCAAATATTCAAAGTAAGAAAATGGACTTTCGGCCCACGCTAAAATTGTGTGCATGAAAACTCGGTCAGCGCGACAATGAACAGCCAAACAATACAAACGTCTGATTGGTTCTTTTTTTCGAATGAGACAAGATCTGACAAACCAGGTTTAGCCTGAGCGGGACCGAACAGTCCTCCAGTGTTGGCGGCCGCCCCGAACGCTGACGTCCCAAAGCCTCCCGTCGTCCCAAAACCCGCGTCTGCAGGACGATATCATGCTTTAAATTCACCTCTGTAGCCTCAGGAAAACTCTCTGTGTTTCACCCACAGACTACATCACAATAACTGCTCTTTAAAAGGTCCTCTACTTTCATCAATATATCACAGGTCTCAGATATATCCAGAGCCTGTCTCTGATTGGCTGAAACACCAAACAGATCATTGCAGCATTACCCATAATCCCCTCTGTTTCAGCCCTGTTTCAAAAGTGCTGATTCTCTGTCTGTTACTTTAGATGAAAATAAGGAGCCCCTCCCCACGCCCCTCTGAGGGGGTACCTTGGTTGGTGATTGGCTAATGGTTACACAAGACAAAACATCATTATGACATCATAAAGTGGCCAAAATCTGATCAGCTCATTTTCAGACAGTTTTTTATATAAATGGATCAGGAAAAAAAGAGAGGGGGTCTTAGTTCCTGAAACGTTCAGAGTCTCTTTACACTTAGGGGACACATGTTGATGTAGAAGAGACATGGAGAAGTGGATTTTGCTTGATAGGGGACCTTTAAATGCACCATGAAGCTGATTAACGTGCCATTTCACAAAGCTATTGCTAATCAGATCTTCTTTGTATACCATCATCTATGAAACATTAAGGTTGGATGGGTCAGGACATGAGGGGGGGGGGGGGGATATGTTCAGGAGGAGACCTTGAATCAGGTGGTATTCAGATACTTTAGAAGAAGATATAAAATCAGTATATTTAGGTCCGTAAGAGTCCCTAAAATCAGTCAAAATGTTTGGATTATGATGCAGCCCTAACCACAATGTGGACCATCTCTGAGCTGACGGGGGGTTTGAATCCCAGAGATTTCATTTAAAGTAAATAAACAAAACTTACTTTGCTGTCCGAAGGTGGATGCGGCGCCGAAGCCCCCCGTCCCTCCCCCGAAGGGAGTACCAAAAGACTTGTTGAACATCTTGTCCTGCTAGCAGGCCCGCATAGGTCGTCTGTGAGGAGAGAAAACACAACATGTTGAAATATCTGCAGAGGTCTTTCCTCCCAGTGGCCATCAGACTCTACTCCCTGTAGTGCTCCCTATCGTGTGTGTCCACTTTATCGTCTTCTACATGATGGTATGTTTGTGTTTTTATCATGTTCTGTTGCCTCTTCGAATATTTAACTAATTGTACGGTGTCCTTGGGTGTCATGAAAGGCGCCTTAAATCAAATGTATTATTATTAGTATAACTCTTCACCCTTCAGTAAAGAGAACTGATAACTTGCACACCACCTCTATGCGCAAAATAAATACCATCATTACACACTCTGCTATATAACCACACACTGGACTACAACTCCCCACTAATGCGGCTTTCACACCAGCGCTTTTCCCTTTCTAGCTCCTAGCTAGAGCTTTTCTGGTTCAGCTCCGGTTTCCCTTTTCAGCTCCCGCTCTGTTCACACCGCCCAGCTGCCGCTGCTGCGTCATGACGTCACCGTTTACATCGCTGATTTTCTCCCCAACGGAGCTCACAACAACAACGGGGGGGGGGGGGGGGGGACTGCGTCGGGTCGATGATCGTGTTGCTTTTAATCATACGAAGCCAGATTAAATTAAATAACGACTTCTCCAACCTTATACTTTTCTCCAGAGTGCCGTGGTTCATTGTTTATTAATGTGTTTCAGCGGCATTTACCGACCGCTGCAGTGCTGACTGCTCTTCAACGGGAGTGTATTCTCCCGTTAGCTCCGGGTTAGCTCACACGGCTCTAAAGTATTCACTGTCTGACTGTCACACAAGCAGCTGTTACATATCCCCAGTTCCCCTTAAGTGAATGTGTGTCAGTCTGAATTGACGCTGTTTGGCATCACAACGCTGTTATGAAAGTTTCTCTGGTATAACGTGGGTGATGTTAGCATAGCAACCGAAGCTAAACTGACTACTTGCTAAGCCGTTTTCTACAGGCACATTTTACCGGCGTATTTTTCATTATGATTCTACTTGTGATAGTCGGACATGACAACCTGTGCAGCCCATGTATTGATTCCATCCGATAGCTGCTATAATACAAAACAAAATGTCTGCCTGCTCTCCACAATGATCAATAACAGCAAACGGATGGTCAAAGTAAGGTACAAATTTCCTGCACGCCTCAACGTAAGAGAGACGTAAGCGACGCCGTGTCATAGCTCCGAAGCTCTTGCCTCCAGACCGACAATTTTTTGGAGCTGGAAGTGAACCGCATTCCGGAGCTATGACGCGGCGCCGCTGCGGTGTGAACAGGAAAAACCGGCGCTTTTCAGGCTCTAGCTCCGAGCCGGAGCTGGAAAAGCGCCGGTGTGAAAGGGGCATCACTGGACTGTAACTCCCCACACACTGGACTACAACTCCCCACACACTGGACTGTAACTCCCCACTCACTGGACTGTCACTCCCCACACACTGGACTGTCACTCCCCACACACTGGACTGTCACTCCCCACACACTGGACTGTAACTCCCCACTCACTGGACTGTAACTCCCCACTCACTGGACTGTAACTCCCCACTCACTGGACTGTCACTCCCCACACACTGCACTGTAACTCCCCACACACTGCACTGTAACTCCCCACTCACTGGACTACAACTCCCCACACACTGGACTACAACTCCCCACACACTGGACTACAACTCCCCACACACTGGACTGTCACTCCCCACACACTGGACTGTCACTCCCCACTCACTGGACTGTCACTCCCCACTCACTGGACTGTCACTCCCCACTCACTGGACTGTCACTCCCCACTCACTGGACTGTAACTCCCCACTCACTGGACTACAACTCCCCACACACTGGACTACAACTCCCCACACACTGGACTGTCACTCCCCACACACTGGACTGTCACTCCCCACACACTGGACTGTCACTCCCCACTCACTGGACTGTCACTCCCCACTCACTGGAATGTCACTCCCCACTCACTGGACTGTCACTCCCCACTCACTGGACTGTCACTCCCCACACACTGGACTACAACTCCCCACACACTGGACTACAACTCCCCACACACTGGACTGTCACTCCCCACACACTGGACTTGCACCAAAGATATTGAAGTGACTGTTATTTTGTATATATTGATTGTTGTTTTTTTTTTATCTCAATGTGTGCATATGTGTAAATGCGTCTGTTGATTGTGTATATAGGATATGTATCTGTATATTGTATAATTTTACATTCGGGATTGTTGGAAACGGTATTTCGATCTCTGTCTTTAAAGATAAACTGAGTAAGATTGACATTGAAGTTGACTAACATGCCATTCCTTGCATACTTAATGTGAATAATACCCTTAGTTGTATCTCTAAACAGTCAACTTTTCTTAGAAAATCAGCCCTGTTTTTATCTTAAGGAACACTTCATCCTTTATCCAATTCATCACAAACATTAAAAAATCCCCTGGAGATGAAACTTACTTTTACAAACGTGGTCTTAAATACAGTACTAGTAATTGTTCATTACCTCTGGCATTTAATGGAGACGTAGTACAAGGCAGTAGTAGCATTACATCTACTTTCCAACACATCTCTCACTCAATCAGGTCTTCATTTGAACAGAAGTCAAAGGGTAATGTGTAATATAATGTACTGGACTTAACCTCCCACTGTACATTTTACATGTATATTCAATCTAATATTTAATAATCAATTTCTTGCACAATTAATGCTATTTTATTTCTATTTGAGATGTTAAAATGTTGGATTGTTTATTTCTAGTCTTTTAATTTCTCTTATGTGCAATGCCTTGTCTTTTAATGCTGCTGCAACGCAAACTTTTCCCACATCGGGATCAATAAAGTACTTCTTCTTATCTTATAAAGGCAGTACAATTACTCGTACTTTTCACCACATGTGGGTCACTCAATCAGGTGTTTATTTGAACACAACCCTGTTGAAATGAAGGACCCATTTGAACTCAAGAGACCCGGCTCCACGTGTAGTAAAACCGGGTCTCTGTGTTGGTAAGAACCGTGAATCCAAACATCAACATTAACCAGCAGTCCCAGCATCCCATAATGCAAGTTTAAACCAGTTTAAAAGCACTAAATTAACCAGTCAGAGCCAGATTAAACCAGTTAGAAACCGAAACTCAACACACATCGAGGGATAACACTGACATAACCAGGATAGCATGTCAGCTAACACCATGCTAACATCCTGCTAACACCATGAACATCTTTTATAGCAATTTAGTTGAAATATTATGAGATGATTTCCAGTATTGGTTGATTTATGATGAGCAAAATAATCCGGTTTTAACACATGGTGATTTAAAATGTGGCCTTCTGTTTGAAAAGACAGAATTTTGAATTCATAATGTGATTATTTTTACACAAATGTCACGTTTTAAACAACAAAAAAACAATCCCCCAGTATTTATTGTTTTTCTTAATGACAGGAAATTATACAAACGATGTATTAAATGAGGCAAAAGTGAATATAATTGTACACATTTCTGAACACCTTAATTCCTGAGAAGCCTCTTGTGTTGTGTTTTAGTTGTTCTCTCTTTTCTGTTCGTGATGAGATCAGTTTTAAAGAAATAAACGCTGATGTTTAAGAACCTTTTTCTGATTGTATTGGAATAACTGGTCAATAAAGTTTAACAAATAAAATAAAATAAAAACCAAGCTAACCAAGCTAGCACCATAGATTAACCGTAACTTACTTTATCTATTAACACACCCAGCTACCAACAAGTCACATTTTAACTTGAATCTTCTTCTTTTAAATCAGTAAACACTCACTTTAATGCGTTAAAGTCACTATTTTTCGGACAGTTAGAAGCTACGTGACAAGCTAACATTAGCTAACTAGCTCCGCGGCTAAATGTTAGCAAAACAAAAGCAAAGACAGACAAAGAACGGGCGTTATTTTCACACACATCTACCTTTCACAACGATGTGATGGATGTTCGGTTGTTTGTGGACCTTTCTCCCGTAATGTTAGAGCTCTGGAGTCCAAAATGTACGAAGATAAAAGTATCTTTAGCTAAACATTTAGCTTCGTCAACGAGGAGGGAAAACTCAGGAGCGTCA